TGCAACTCGAACACAATTGAGCGTTCAATCAACTTTTGGAGTCCATTTTGAACATTTTTGCTAGCTACAACCAAAGTCATATCCGATGGCTGTCTGTAATTGTTCGTCCCTGACGCTAGGATTCGTGGATTATCATTTCGATGCAATAGGCAGAAACGTTCAAGATTTCGTTTGTAGGTGTAGGAGAGTTGCGAAGAAAATTAGAAAGAGAGAAACATTATTCTTTATAATTTTTCATATTATTTCGTACTTTTGAAATTTTTTCAATCTGTGCTCACACAAATCTCCAATTCATTTTTGTTGATTGAACGCTCGAGTTGATTCATAGTGGCACCTTCTATGACATCGGATCCTTATCTCCAATTGCTTTTAGTTGATTGTCGTTTTTAATTTTTTTCCATTTGAATTCTTACAAGCGTCCGATCTATTTTTGAAACCACGTGTTCGATCCATTTATGATAGAGAGTTTGGAACTATTTTTTAATTGCGGCTTAAGCCGCATTGAATTTCCATTCAATATCAATTGTAGTTGATTGTAGTGCTGAAATCATTTCATCTCGGATTAAACAGGACAGAATGCTGAAAATTGTTTTTCGGAGCGGATGTGCGAAATATTCCATTCTTGAGAGGATGCGTTTGTAGTGGTGAGAGGAACCGATTGAATACTCCACATATCTACGAACTATTGTAGATAGGAATCATTTCTCATTTTGGCTATAGCTATAATCAGTTTATTGTTTGTTTGCAAAAGTCAACTGATAGGTAATTTGAATTACGATTGAAAAAATTTCACAAGTATCATCACCTGTAAATGATAGCAGATGATAATTGTTTTTTCATTTCTCATTCTTTACCTACGACAAACAATTACAGGCGAATCCGCTCCACGTATCTGATTTTCGTCAAGTCGTCGATGAGATATCATTTTTGGATACAATTAAATGATAATTATTCCCTACGATTTGTCATTTCACTGAAAATTTTCAGAGCCTATTAAGCAGTGCAAATGATTGTAGTTGAATCATGCACAGAGTTGAAGAACGATTTTCGGTTGACCACTCATAAAATCACTAATAAAAATTTCGTCTTTTTTCTTGGCAAAAAATTTGCGTACACAATACACAATTACCAATAATTGTCGACGGAGCTCCGGGATCACCTTGGCTGTGTCTATTAACCACCTACTAGTTCGGCCCAAAAAATTGACTGCACGTTCATTTGGATTTGGATTGCTACAATTTCAAAACTACACTTAACTACAAACGTTTGCAGATAAGAATCCAGTATCAATTGATATGTTTCTAGGAAATGGATCCTAGCTATCCTTCAAAAATACATTGGATGATTATTCGTCAACTAGAAACAAAAAAAATGCTACTACCATTACGTGTTACTCTAAATCTACTTAATACTAAATATTCGTTCTATTAATTCAAAAGAACTTCATGGTTGAAAAGCAAAAGACATTGATTTCTCATTTACAATCATTTATAATTGACTGTACAATTCCCATCCGGCAAATTCGAAGTAAAATTAGCACAGAACTCAATATTAAAAGACATCAACTGGTTCCGAGACAAAGTTTTAAGTGCGTCAATTTTCATCGATAATCGTGTCTAGTAGATTCCCATTTAGTTTTAGTGATGAAATTCACATTTTTATATTTCAAAGTGAAATAACCCTACAAAGGGTTCTGGCTCGAAGGGGAATCACTCACACTCGAGCGCGACAGCCACACCGCCGTACTGCCGCTTAACGCGGCAGCGTCATTCGATGTCCTGTTTACCCCAGTATCTCCGGTGGGGTGCTTCCGATCCAAAAGTGGTAAAGGACTTTCTGGTTCAGACTCACCTCCTGTACATGCCGGTTAAGTATCGGCACGTACTTCGGGGACACCCTGTATATTATCGTTATGAGCTAGATAAAAACTGCCCAAGACGTATAAATCGTATCAGAGAGCGTCTTCATGGACGAATCTTTGTAGCTCATCGTACAGTAGTTTTTTGTTGTTTGTAGTGTGATAGTCCTGTCCTCAAAACTATAATTTTTATGATATCAACCAAGTCTCGCCCTTGAAAACATCGATAAGGCAGGAAGAAACAACGAGTGAGAGGGAAACCATATAGGAAAGGAAGATAAATAGACCGAAATAATATCGTGTGGATCCCTCAATTGTCCCTGAAATTCCTGAACCCCCCCTGCCATCGCTGTTGACACGACGAGTGAGTGATTATTAAATTCATATACGTACTTGAGGACTGTACGGCGGTTAATTTTCCTTCCAGTTATAAAATTCACTGTCCAAAGCGACAGCCAACGTCTTTAGAAAAACTTGTCTAATACAATATGTACTGACAGCTTGATTATAATATTCAAATTTCCTCTATAAAATTAGCAATTGAAGAAATAGAAACTGTAGAGGAGTCTAGCTTCACTGTTTAAGGCTGGGATTGATTCGCAGCTTTGAATGGGAAAGAAATCATCGTTTCTGCTATTAGAAATTTTGTGGTTATCCATACGAAAGCGACCCACTTTGTCGTGTTTAATTTACGAGACGTTTGCCTATTGACAATTCTTACCTGAGTCAATGTTAGAGTTTTTTTCTTCTACACTACCAATTTTATTTGTTATGTCATTGGGAATCATCCCACAGCTAAAAATGTGAAGAGGTATTTAACATGTAAACTAAAATATATTTTGTAACGTGGTATTTTACCACGTTACTAGTTTTCGACCGTCTCGCGATTATAAAGACTTCCACCAGACGGGAAGTCACTTTCAGTGGCGAGAGTGTTGATTAAAAAAAAATTATATAGGTTTGATTTATTTTATTTTGATTTAATTTGAATTGATTCACGCGCCACCGCCTTCTCAATCCGAGGACATCGCCAAGGATCACTGGGACTCCAAGAGATGTCATTGGACTCCGGATTTTCTGTCGATAATCGAATTTTTGATGTGGCCGACAATGGAGCCACAATCCAGCGGGGAATTATGAAGGAAGTGATGCAGTTTGCTGAACACGAGGCGGATTGGCAATTAATGAAAAATAGGATAAGAATTATTAGAGGAGAGTTATTATTTTCTCGAGGTAGTTTGTGACGCGGAAAATTATTTTATATTTATTAGGCGGCGCTGAGGATATAATATCATTTGTGATAATTAAGTAGAATGATATTAAGCATCACAAAAATTTGTAGCGCATGCGTGCAAAAAAAATATTATCTGTGTCGCGCATAGCCATTTGATTGGTGACGTTGTCATCCCCCCCAGTCATATAATCGATCGCGTGACCTACCTGTTGCCTATTCACGTGCGTTTGAGAAATTACTTCCTGTTTGGTGGATATCGAGAGCGGACCTGCTGTCAATTTTTGTTGTGCAGAGGACGCCAGAAATTTATCAAAGGACGCCATTTCACCTGATTATTTATTTTGAGGCTGTGGAGCATTTTGGACGGAGTTGAGGAAATTTTCGGAGGTTTCGGGTGAGCATGGTGGCCATTTCTTTTGTGATTTGAAGAATGTGTTAAATACTGTGGGCAGAGATTCTATTTTTTCTTGTTGGTGTTACGTACACCTGTGTTCTGTGGACCATTTGTTGGATTATTCTCTCAGGGAATCTCTGGCCACTTCTTTCAGTGATTTTGATTCTCTCTCTCTCATTCGAAAATTGGGTTATTTAGTTTATGTAAAATTTTGTTAGCTACGAATTTTAGTGTGGTTTTGCGATTTCTGTTTGATGATTTTGTGTCGCAAAACCTGTTACTCTCGCCATTGAATTTAATTTCAATTCATTAGTTTCAAGGTCTCGTGACCTGCGAATTATTCTACCTCAAGTTTTTGTATTTATTTTGTGTATGTTTGATTGCTCGAGGTCACGTAGACTTATCGATTTTTCGCGTTACTGTTTAGAGTCGTTGAATTAATGTGACAATTTCTTGTAAAGTATTTCTGATAAAACTTTTGACTTCTCCGACTGCTAACAATTGAGTTTTGTAACTCAGTTGTTTTCCGTTAATTTTTCTTTAGTTTTGTTGATAATAACAACTCGAGTCTGGTGACTCAGTTGTTTGATGTTTTAATTAATTCTGACTTCTGTGACTATTTTATTATTTATTAATTTATTTATTTTGAAAATTTCTAGACTTCAGAAAAACCTGTATAAACTTAATCAGACGATTTGACTTGACCGATTAATTTAAACATTCTGTAACGCGTAGTCGATTTAAGGGGATTTTATTTTATTAATTTTTTTTTTATGTATCGAGACTGATTTTTTTTTATTAAATATTGTTCTCCCCGACAATTCTTATTTTATTCATTTTTTTGTTGAGGATCCCAGTTTCATCCCCTTTCAGCTTCCGATTATTTAAATCTCTACGAAACGAGCTACAGGAGTTATTGAAGCTGAGAGTGGAGAAGGATTTTCTTCACGGTGGTCATTCCGTTTTTGATGACCTGGCGCCTGACTAAATTTTCTGATTTTATTTTTGGGGTGTTTTGGTGCCAGAGGGCGGGCTAATGGACGAAGGGTTCCGTGAACTTTCGACAATTACGTCGCAATTTCATAGTATGTAGAATGGAATTCAGATTTGTACTTTAGAATGACTGGCTCCAGTTCTGAGTAGGTAATAAGTGAAACATGATCTGGAAAAAAAAAGATCTCTTTTGTTATTCATTACACAGAACTGGTTGTGGAAAGTTCACTACTGAATCGATAATACTGGATCTAGAAAGTAAGTGAAAAATCGTTGACACTATTAATTATAGTTAAATCATGGCCAAATTTGTGTTTCGCGCTCGAACTGCAGGATTTTGGTTCACAGAACGGACCAGCAGATGGCTGTACTGGTGTCGGAAAAAGTCGTGTATAAGCGAGCATTGGGCTTTTCCGGAAACCTATCTCCAGCCGCCATTACGCGTCACTATAAGTCACAAGAGTAAAATTTAATAGCTAACAACGGGAAAGAGTTTGTTCTTCAAACAACTGTGACGAAAATTTATTCCGAGACTGCATTTGATAAAACCTGTAACATTTGACAGAGGATCGCATTGTTATCGCCCTCTCCGAGGATTTTGTCAGCGCATTGTATTTGAGGTTAAAACATCCGAAGTAAGCACTTTTAGTCGCTTTCATTCCAATTGTCGGTTGAATACTTGAATAATTTTTGTATTTTTCTATTCCTTAAAATACAGGTGCCATTTTGTTGACTATTCTTCGAAAATAACTACTTAGGATATTTTTTTTCGAGCATCCGTAAATCCATCGGAATCATTTATAAACGTAAGAAACTTTCTATAATTCTAGTGTTAAATCGGATGAGTTTCTTCTGTAGCGAAAATATTTGGTGATTAAGTGACAAATGATCAAAAATCGTTTTACCATGTTGCAATGTACAATTACCTTGCATCAGGTCATGAATGTCAAGTGATGCATTCGATTACGCTTTCCTGCAACCTCAAAAAAACTCATGTAACGTTTTGTTCCAGAATCTCGAGTTTTTTCTTGTTCTCCGCTTTCAAGTACTTTTATTTTTTCATTTCAATCTTAACGACATAATAGTAGAATTTCTGATTCTACTTTTATGATTTTACTTTTCTTTCAGGGAAGAAAGTGACAAGCATGGGGTATCATTATGAGTAGAGCATTGGCTTATGGAATTTGTCAATTTAATAGACGCATACCACAACTCCCATAAAATGTAGTCATTGTGGAATAAAAAATGTAGATTTAGGGATATAAATATGTACATAGATAGTTCATAAGATAGCACTTATCTTGAAAGTTATTCGTTACGCGTAAATATCGTACTATTTAGTGTTACCTACTGATCGTAAAAATGCCGAAAGCACCTGCTTTAAGCTGTGACGCTTTATATCAAATTCTTGAAGGCTGGACCATCATTAGTGATAGAAAATACTTGCCATATAGTGATACAGTGTGGCAGGCTGCATCAGAGGCAACGGACGGTAAATTACCGAAAGATTATATTTATCAGTATATAACTCAAAATCGAGGTGCTGTCAATAAGAATCCCAAAACAGGATTATCATTCCGGCTCCATGGAGATGCCATGCTAATTCGCAACAAAAAGCCTACAAAATCAAAGAAATATGACGTTAACTGGTCGATGAAACCACCAAAGAAAGACTGTCAGAATCTACAAGAACTGAGAGAGAGTATTCATCTGAGGTTGAAAACATGGGGTCAACTAGGCCTACAATTAAAAGAATATAAAGGGAGGACTTATGAAGTACTAGAAGCGGGCTGCAGTGATAAAATGTATGATTGTATTTTCGAACACCTCAGATTACCGTGTCCTTTCGCTTTCAAGAACGCTAAAGTCGACAGAAATCCTGGTGAAACTTTTTTAACGATCAAAGGCAAATGTTTTGAATGTGGTTCTGAAATACATTTGTATAGTTCAGCTGAACGAGATCACAATGGCATTGATTTCCACGTTTCTACATTGGATACGCGAGGAGTTTTACACAAGAGAAAACGCCACCTCCGAGGTGAAACGAGGAATAAAATTGGTGCTGAGCTGAAAGGTAAATCAGCATACTTGTGACAACGAGAAGTCGCAAATGAGCGGATGGAGTTTGGTGACTGTCAACCTGCTGATCTCTACACTGCGGAGGTCCTTCGTAAAGCAGCGCAAGAAACTCTAGAAAAAGAGCTTGGATTGAAATCAGGAGATCATCCAATGATTTCACTCCACAAGGCAGCACACACTGTTGAATTTTCTTCCAACATCCGAGAAGTTGCATTCGATCCACCATTCGTAATGTATTGGCTACCGGAGCAATTAACAATGTATCAGATATTTTTGAGTACTGATAGAATTGGGAGTATAAGCATTGACGCAACTGGAACCATCGCGAAACCGTTCCTAGAAACCGATGGTTCTAAGAGAATAATTTCTATCTACCAAGCAGTGGCCGGTTATCGAGGGAAAATTCTTCCCTTATTTCAAACGGCTTCTGGCAAGCATGATGCAAACACATTGTGTTATTGAATATGCGAGTGGTTGCGATCAGGTGCTAAAGCTCCGAGAGAGATCGTAACAGATTATTCTCTGGCATTGTTAAATGCAGTTTCGTTGGCATTTAATGAGTGTAGCTTACAACGCTATGTAGAGAAATGCTTCACCGAAATTTCTGGATCGACTTCGCAAGGAGATTCAATGTGTCTTACGTCTCGATATTTACCACTTAATTAAGTTCGTCACCGACTGGTCATGTTTCTCAAGAAATAAGCCCCACATCCACGATTTTTTTGTACGCTGCTTGGCTTTGCTGGTAATGCAAACTGATGTTGAAGAATTTGAGGATCTTCTGCTCGCTGTTCTGACCGTGGCCTTCTCACAAACAATCGAAGAGGATAATAACAAAGTTCCAGGCCGTTCATCACGAGACAAATTACTGAGATTCATGAAGACGGGTCTCAAGGATTGGCTTCCTAAGAATCGCGAAGAGAGCCCTCTCATCCATTTGAGTTCTATGAATACCGATGAGGAAGATAAAAATGATAACAAGAGACCAATCGAGAAGTTCGTGAACCGAATGGCAGAGAAAAGCCTGAAAAATATAATTCCGAGAGAAAAATCCAATAAATACATGTGCGAAGAATTCTGGAACAAACTGGTGAAACTATCGATGCACTTTGTTTTGTGGACGCACATCATGCCCAAACTTAATTGTCTTCAGATGCAATATGAAATAGCTGACATCGAGGGGGCATCTTCTTACAAGCATACTTTAAGGATGTGAAACATCGCATTTCAATGAGAAAGAAAGATTTGAAACTTGACAAAGTAATACGAATGCAGTTGAAAGTATTAAAGGGTACAGTCAACATGTTGGCCCCCAATAAGTATTCAAGTAATCCACCCAAACCTGTCGTGAGTTCGGAGGACGAACACAGCACTGAAGAAGAGATCAATTCTGGTCAGGACATGAGCAGGGAATTCGTCGACGAATCATCACAATCTTCAACACCACGTGCACCCGATTCAAAACTAAGTGCTTTTAGTAATGTATCGGCTAAGTTAAATTGTCAAGATCTGAATGCAGACTCCACTAGCAACAGTAGTATCCAGCAAAATGCGGAGAAATCAGCAGAACGCAATGTTGAGAACCCCATAAATTTTTCTGATCCTATACCATTCACACCTGCCTTTATTCATCCTAATGAATCAACCCGTATCGAATCAAGCTCGTTGTTGATTGAAGCATCAAACGAAGAAAACAAGCCGATTCATTCTCCGATTCTTAGTGCTCAACCCTCCGAGGATTACAGTTATTCTCATCGTACATCAAATCGTGAGACTGAATCTCCTCCAAATATAAACGAAGATCCATCAGATTCCGATGGATCTGCTATCGTTTCGATTCTGAAAAAAAGGAAATTTGGAATTGATAAATCAGAGCAGGAAATTGTTTGATGATTGAAAAACGTTTCGGTTGGTTTTCAGTAGATTTATTCGCCTCCAGAATTAATAAAAAATGTAAAAAATTTTATTCTCGTTTTCCGTATCCTGAGGCTCATTCAGTCGACGCCTTCACTGTTAACTGGAACACTGAGTTCTTTTATGCGTTCCCTCCATTTTCAATGATTCTCCGCACATTGAGAAAAATTATAAATGACGAAGCCACAGGTGTACTTGTAGTACCACTATGGGCAACGCACCCATGGTATCCTCTTTTCCGATCTCTTCTCACTGAATTACCTATAACTTTCTCGCCTGATAACTGTTTATTAAAATCTCCTTACAGGGACGAGATACACCCATTGGCCTCCCGCCTTTCCCTGGTGGCAGGGAAATTGTCCGGTCGGCATTCTTAAGAAGAGGAGTTCCGGAAGACTCCTTAGATGTCATGGTCAACTCCGTCACCAACTCAACTCTCAAGCAATATAATTGCAGTCTTAAGCACTGGTGGGACTATGTGCATAAAAATAATCTAGACATTCATGACACAAATTCTTCAGGAGTTATTACGTTTTTGACATTTCAACTTCACATGAGGGCTAGTTATAGTACACTGAACACAGCGCGGTCGGCAATTTCTCTGATTTCGGTCTCTAACACTAATAGGGATGGTTTAATTACACGTTTTATGAAAGGTGTTTATAAACAAAAACCGACCACGCTAAGATACACTACAACTTGGGACGTCACACCAGTCCTGAATTATTTGAATAAATTATATCCTCTGAAGGGCTTAAAACTGAAAGATGCCACTGAAAAGGTGATGACATTGCTAGCTCTGACAACAGCGCAAACATTGACAATATTTCAGTTTCTGATACTAGTATAAGTATTAAAATTACAGATCTTCTCAAAACGTCATGTCCAGGATCTTTTCAGCCTGACTTGATCTTACCTTTCTTCAGAGAGAAACCAGGATGATGTGTGGTATCGTCTATTTTAGAGTATATGGACATTACCAAAGAATGACGAAATCCAGAATTAAAAAAGCTCTTCATTACAACGAAAAAGCCATTTACAACAGTATGTGCACAAACTTTGGGTCATTGGGTCAAATCTCTTTTGGGTAAAGCAGGAGTTGATATTAAATCATTCTCTGCTTATAGCACCAGGCACGCTGCAGTGTCTGCTGCTCATCAAAGAGGCGTTGACATTACCGTTATTCGACGTACTGCTGGAAGGTCCACCGCGTCTGAAATGTTTTCCAAGTTGTATAATAGGCCTATCCAGCCCCGCAATGACCAATTTGCGTGTGCAATCTTGGGTAAAAAATAAGTTAGCTCTATAAGTACTGGAACAGCTGTAAAAATTTAGACTTGAAAATATATAATGTCATTCACTAAAAATGCATTATCTGGAATTATCGCAGACTTTAAAAAACTATAATAATTATCATTGAGAACGAGACTTGCAATATAAGTGAAAGATCAAGCGAGCCCGCCGAGGGCAGGCGAAGTTTGATCAAAATTATATGAAAAGTCTCGTTCGAAGATGATAATTCTCCCAACCCGATTATTCCCAAAAAAAAAAAAAAAAAAAAAAAATTAAAACATCCCATTATCATCTTCGGATTATGACGATAATTCAAAAATTCGTTACACCAAAACAATATAAAGGTGGTGGTAAGTGACACATAGGGATGAAATGGCGGCCAGCGCCAAAGAATTCAAATTTTTAGCTTTGAACGTTGTGATATAAAGCATGACAAGCATGACTACAATAATTATCATCTTCGAACGACACTTTTCATATAATTTTGATCAAACTTCACTCGCCTTTGGCGGGCTCGTTTGATCTTTCAATTATAAACGATTCTAGATAATAACTCAATGTCATTTGGTATCTAACTATTAATTAATTCCGAACTAATGGAACGAAAATTAAATATTATGTGGATTTTGAGCAATAGGAAATTGTAGTATCGTTTTTTTGTCTGTAATTGATGAATAAGCAGCTAATCTATTTTTAAAGGACACTTGGGAACCATTTTGTAAATACTGTGACGTACCTAGCTCTCCGCGAAAGAAAAACGACTTTGAAATGGCTGGATTATTTATGCTTCAAATAAATTCAAATATTGCCGGGTAACAAAATTATTTAATAAAATCGAAATCAACAGAACAAAAAAAAATGTCTGAAAGTCTCCGACCTACTCTATAGATAAAAGATCAGGGTATTCTCGCCAACAAAACATGAACAATTAAGTCACAAAATTACAATCACATATTTTGAACAATCAAATCCCTTAACCACATGTCAATTTATAAAATACTAATAAGAAGCAATAAATCAACATAAGTAGAAATGGTAAAGTCAAAACTTTATAAGTGGTCGATAAAACAGCTAACAAAATTACTGAGTCAAAGGTTAAATGGAAAAGGAATCTATCTTTGCCGCGAGAAACAAGGATACAAAAGGAAATCGATATTTCCCGCGACAATAGAACGATTCAATTAGATAGGAGAGACAGGAGTCAAAATTATAGTTTTAGCTAAAACCACAGATTTTACTCAGAAAGCGCCAAAAACAGTCTATGAAGCGAAAGATTAGATTTTTCTCAACTAAGATATTTTTATCGAACGAGATTATGATACACTACAAGAATTTGAACATACAAAAATGGCGTTAGTCGCCATGGACAATAAGTCCAGAAATTAGGAATTAATCTAACAAAATTCATTCAAATTCGACAATTTCAAATATCGTGTCCACCGCACTCCGGTCTTTATCCAAACAAAATCGCAGGAAAGTAGCAGGACAGGTCCTTCAAAATAGCTTCCAAGTCAAATCCTTTGTGGTCCACACGATAAAATAATAAAAAACCTAAAAAGCAGCACCAATTAGCAATTTGCTGCATGCGCCCAGACGTCCAAATGAGAAGTGTTAAACAAGGCTATGCTCCACGAGTGACAAAACTGGCCAACACCGTGATTGGTCCACCCACTTCGTGAGACTATCTGATTGGTCAATATTAATATCGCTAATAATAGCGAAGGATTTTCCGAAAAGAAGTTCCCATTTGTATCCAACAATCCGAGAAAATTAATAGTTGGACCTCTTAATTCTCAATTAAAATGATGACCTCAAATTGGTAAATTTGTGACGTGCATCGTTTTTTTTTAAGAGAGAGAGAGAGCCGCGCCCAACCCGCGCATCCAACACCGCGGAGAAAATTAAAAATGAATAACCACTACTATAAAATTGCGGTCTCGCGATTTTCCCGGACAGCCCGGAGGCCACGCTAAGGCGGTTGAAACTTTTAGGATTTTCCCTGCTAATTCCGGAATTAGCAGGAGATTAGAGAATTTTAGGGGAATTTACGGGGGGGGGGGGTAATTACAAGGGTTATTCCCTGCCGAATCAGCAGGAGATTAAAGATTTATTAAGAAAAGTTTAGGATTTTGGGATTAGTAATTAGGGTGGGAAATCGTGCGGTCCTCAATCTCGTCGCGAAGGGAGATAGTATGAAATTATCATCCGACGTAGACTTGGGGGTTATTCCGTTCGCGAAATCTTCCCGGGATGAACCGTCTGACTGCGAGTGCCAGCACCCCTGAAAGAGGGATTCGTGAGGAATTTTATTTACGGGTCAGTGTTGGAAGATCGGTGGGGGTGTTACGACCGACACCTCCCCGAATCGCCGTCTTAGGTTAAGTTATTTAGGGTTAGAGTGTCCACGAATCCCCGGGGGAAACAACCGGGAAAGACCAGCCACGATAGTTAGGGTAGTTGGGTTAAGTATTAAAAATTCGATTCCCCCATTCAAATTTGAATGGGGAGAAATTAGCGCGTCAGGACAAGTAGCGCCGTCGCGTTCAATCCACCGGAACTGACGTTCCGACGAGACACGAGCTCCGCCATATTTTGGCAGTTATCGCCTGGACACACGAGCCACAGGACGTTTTTCCCCAGAGAAGAGAAGCAGAGACGATTAGACAATGGGAGGATCCCGGAGATCAAATGCATCCCGTGGAAAGGTGAGAAAATTTCTTTAATTCATCCCAGTAACACCGGTTACTGCAGATCGCATATTTACTTCGGTTCGCGAGTGAATTAATCCTGTTCGATCAACGGATCGAACAGCGTTTTCCTCCGTTGAGGTGTTCGCGAGTGTTTTCTCGGCCATGGTTTATCCGAAAACCATGGCTGATCGCGTGTGGAGGATCAGTCATCCCACAGGGTCGTCCCTGTGGAGGTTTAGGATCATATCGCGCAAGAAAACGTCTGAAAATCCCGGGGGAAACCGTCAAAAACCCCCTGTGGAAACGTGAGGAATTTACTCGGGTAACCTTGAGGGGTGCCCAGCCGTCGAGGCTTCGAGTGTTTTCTCCCACTCCGCTCCGCTCAACGTTGAGCGTGAATTCCACCACAACGGTGCTGAGAAAATCCCGTTTCTTTAAAACGGAGATATCGCGATCCCCTTAAATGGTGGAATTCCCCAATTTTGGGAAGATGTTCGCGAATATCCCCCCTCACTGGTTGAGCTTATCCGATGCGGATCGGTGGAGGCAATGAGGCATCGCGAGTTTTTATACGTCGGAAAATTTTCTAACGCGTGCCGTGATCGTTGGGCGTAGTACGATCTCTCTCGCACATCATCTTCCATCTCTCTCCCGCTCTCACATAACGCCTCTTCCAGGCTCGCCGAGAATTTTCTCGGTGATATTAAGAACTCACACGTAACTAATTTAATTCTTTTTTTTTGCGGATTAATCCCGGACCTCTCTCGAGGGCCCGAGGAATTACGTCGAGTTAGACTTTATAATCCCTCCATGGGAAAAATTTATTATTAGCCCTTCTATGGGGCCCTAAATCTTTTTGGGAAAATCCCGAGCCTCTCCAGAGGACTCGTGGAATTATGGGGAGATTTTCTATGGGGAAATTTATAATAAATTATATCTACAGGGTCCTGAATTTTCGGAGAAATCTCGAGCACCCTCCGGTGTCTCGCGGACTTAAATGGGGTTACTTTTTTCTTCTTTTTGGAAATTATCACCGCCATGGCGGGTGAATTGAATACCGTTGACCGCGGTCGACTGGGAGATTCTCGACATCAGTGTTCGTGTTTAATTTAATAAAAATTAGCTAATTTTGAGGACGTTAGTGCAGTTTGAGGGACTATTTATTTGAACATTTTCGCCCTTTTCCCCGAATCCACCCCTCTCTCCACAACCCAGCATACTGAGCAGCGCAGGGATCCGTTACCTCTCCCTCAACCCCCTTGCTGAATTAGATATAAGTACGGGTTAGTGATACGTTTTTCGGTTTTAATCTAGATTTAAGTTTTCGAGTTGCTGGTTTCTCGATCCGGATAATTAGCTGGCGCCCGGCAACCTTTTTAGGTTCCGATTTTAGTTAAGTTGAGTATCGGCGAGGAGGCCAGAGGGCGGAAGGGCGAAGGTGATGGGCATTTCCGGTCGCTTAGGGAAATGTCACGTTACAAATTTTTCAAGAGCCCCACGAATAAATAAAGTATGTGACATATAGGTTAACGTTAATATAGGTTCGTCGTGTAGTTCCAAATGAGTCCCTACATGTGCGGGCTCGGACGCTGGCGCAGAATATTACCTTGGTTGTAGTGAACAATAATTTTCAAATTAGACTCCGAAAATCCATTGAACGCTCAATTGTATTCGAATTGCATACAGTCAAAAACTCCAATCACCTACAAACGATTGCAAATAAGAATCCTACATGACGCGGGCGTCCACTATGAAAAAGTTCATGGCGGTTTGGCAAAAATAAATTGAACGCATGCGGAAATTCGGATTGGGAAAAGTGCGAAACTACAATCAACTACAAACATTCAGAGGTAGGAAGCCCATGTCATTCCAACTGTCATTATAATGATAGAAACAAATTTTTTTTATATAAATTCACAATAACCATATTGTTCATTTTAGTATTGAAATTAAAAGTTTCGAATATTATGAAGAACTACAAATGATTATTGTTCATTTTGGGATGATACCGAAAAATTATTTCTTGATACCACTGAGGAAAATTCATTTATCTATTGCATTGCATTGGAAATACAAAATACTAGACACAACTGCGAACGATTGCAGACAGGCATCGGATTATTACATTGGTTGTAATAAATACTCATTTTCGTATTCGATTCCGAAAATCGATGGGACGCTGAATTGGGTTTGAATTGAATAAAGCCAAAAACTACAATCACCTAGAAAGGATTGCATATAAGAATCCTACATGACTGAAGCGTCCACCATGAAAAAGTTCATGGCTGCTTGTCAAAAATAAATTAAACGCATGCGCAAATTCGGATGGGATAAATTGCGAAACTACAATCAACTACAAACTTTGGGAGAGAAGAATCTCATGTCATTTCAGCTGTCACTATCAAAAAAAGTTACCTACTATATTCCAAAAATAGATTGTACATATGTTTGAGTACGGATTGAAAAAATTCAAAAACTACTATCAATTATGAAAGATCACACAGAAGAGTCTGCCCATATTTTCAATTTTTTTTCCGAACTACGTAAAACTAGACTCGAATCGTTATACGGAACTCCTTTCCGCCAGGCCATTGACGGAAACTGATTCTTTTTATATAAATTCATGACAACCATTATGTTGATTTTAGCATTGAAATGAAAAGATTGAGATACTATGAAGAAGCACACATGATTATAGTTCATTTTGGGATGGTACCGGACAATAATTTCTTGATACCACTGAAGAAAGTCCATTTATCTATTGCATTGAATTGAAAATTCACAAATACTACACACAACTGCAAACTATTGCAGACAGGCATCGGATTATTACCTTAGTTGTGGTCAGCAATAATTTTTGAATTCGACTCCGAAAATCGAATGAACGCTCAATTATATTCGAATTGCATATAGTCAAAAACTATAATCACTTACAAACGATTGCAGAAAAGAATCCTACATGACTAAAGCGTCCACCATGAAAAAGTTCATGGCTGTTTGTCAAAAATGGATTTAACGCATGCGGACATTCGGATTGCAAAAATTGCGAAACTACAATCAACTACAAACATTCGAAGAGAACAATCCCATGTTATTCCAGCTGTCACTATGAAAAAAAGTTCCCTATTATATTCCAAAAATAGAATGAAGACATGTTTTATTACGGATTGAAAAAAATTAAAAACTGTTATCAAGTATGAGAGTTCACAAAGAAGAGTCTGTGACTATTTTCAATTTTTTTCCCAACTACGTAAAACTACACACGAATCATTGTACGTAACTTGTACGCCCTTGACGGAAACAAATTTTTTAAATATAAATCAATAACAACCATATTGTTCATTACAGTATTGAAATCAAAAGTTTCAAATATTATGACGAACAAATGATTATGGTTCATTTTGGAATGGTACCGAAAAACTATTCCTTGATACCACTAAAGCAAATCCATTTGTCTGTTGCATTGAATTGAAAATCCGCAAATCCAAAATCCACAAATTTCTTTGACTTATTGTCTCTCTTATTTTGTACAGCACTTTTGCTATTTTTCTTCTGCATTTCGTACAATTCCAAGTAGTCTCTTTGTTAAATTTCTCATCGTGAATTCCGCTAATTACGTACTTGATGACTATCTCGATATCTCCATTACTGGCTATTTCGAGGGCGCGGTACACATATGCCTCGAAAGACTTTTCATTTTTCTTTTTCATTGCTCGTAATTGATCGTGCAATTGCATGCAATCAATTTCCTTCTCAAAAGTTTTGATTAACTTTTTCCTATGTTCTCATCATGTACAATCATAACCCACATATAACTTCGCAGTTCCTTTTAGTAACTTTTTTGCTTAAATTCTTCAATGACTCTGTTCAGTTGCACATTTCAGCCATTTCTTCCAAATGCGCCAACCAATGGCGTACATTCTGTGCACCATCGGCGCTGAAGGTTTCCATAGCATCTTCAACATCCCGAAACGTAGCAGTAGGCTGTGTATAATATTTTTTAGCTTCAATTTTTCCCTTTTTCAATTCCCAGTATACGGCTCGTTCGTTCCTCGCTGTCAGTTTCACTTGATTCTTCTTCACTGTCTACTCTATCTTCTTCACTATCAGTTTCATCATCCTCAAGTTTTTCGGCTAAAATTGTTTTTTTCAATCATTCCAATAACACGGCTTTCTTTCCGGCGGTTTTCTGACCGCGCAAGCGCAAACTCTCATGCAATTCTTTTAATGACATATCTTCGAGATTGTTTTGAGTTCTATCTTTTGTTTCATCAGGCACTTTTTCATCTGCGCCACCTGCCTCTTTATCAGTTATCTTTGGTCTTGTTGAGCCTTTTGGAATATTTTTGCCTTCTATTGCCCTTTTCCATCGCAGAATTAATTCTGTTTTGGTTCCTTCTGTTGGAAGCCCCAACACTTGCAATTTTGCTTTGACGCCTTCCACATCCAAATTTGCCAGCGTCGCTGTGACATCATCTCCTGAGCCCGACATCTTCTATCATTTTGCACACTACTCAAATTACAAACACGATCAACACTAAGTCCATTCAGCGTAAACAATGATCACTACGTTGCACAACACACGTCTTTTTTTACATTTTAAATTGTACCACTAACTAATCCCGGATTCCCCATAGTGGTCGTGAATAAAAAAATGCAAAAGTAACTACTCCAGACTTTGACAATAAAAATAACAAATTGGTACATTAAATTAAAGGAAACATTGAGCTGTGATTAAAAACAGGTCTCTTTTCTCGGAAAACTCAAAACGGACAAACTAATCAACTCTTCCAAATCTTTCTTCTTTTCCTCACCATTTTCCCCCTCCTCACTGTACTCGAACAAACCATCTATTGTCTAATTGACTTCACACTGTGTCTCCACTGGACCTCACATAAAAGTTTCAAAAAGGCACGAATGCCATTAAACCGACATTCGATCCCCGGAAACACTACACGCTAAATTATCAACGCTAGGAAAAATTATGAAAGAAATTAAATAAACATCTAGCCTAAACTTTACGTTTCACAATGGACTTATTCAAGAGAATAAAAGAGTCCGGAATGGAGGTTCCAAGCCACAAAAAAAGAAGAATATTTGAGGATTTAACTGCATCTCTGATGAGTAGTAGTATGGGGTAGACTCCGGGAATGTTCCCATCTTCTGCCACCAGGCGGCGCTAGTATCGCGGCGTGTGTTGGCGTTATGGGAGGGGTGGGGGGAATGACGGGAGTTTCAAATTTCGGCACTAGGCGGCGCTAGTGTCGCGGGGCCCGTGGGTGGCGGTGGGTGGTGGTGGGTGGTGGTTGGTAGTGGGCTGAGGTCGATAAGGAAGGAATTTGCACAGTTCCGAAACACGTATCAGACTATTTATCTTGAGTAAACACAAGTGGTATCAAAAACATTTGCTGGGTCATCGCTTCCGGTGTTAGGAACAGAGTTGCCAGATGGCGAATTTTTTGAAAATGTTTTTTTGATTTTAAACAATCCCAATCAAGCAAGTCCAGCCGATAGCGCGAATGATTGACACTTTTGAAATGGCTTAGTTGATATCTAATTCGAAGCTTGCTATCATCTATCCTATTCTTGAAAAACCAAAAACAATTTTT